ATGTAGGGGCCTAAATTGTTTTAATAGGGTTTGGGTATATTACACTCGAATTATAACAAGGAGCCCCCAAAATAGTACACGCAATTATAAAGGCCCCTAAACCCTACGCACCCTAAACCCTATGAAACCTGAGCCCTAAACCCTCCCCGAAAATGCCCTAACTCTGAAGCCACGAACTTCGATCCAGCAGCTCGGGCTTGATGTCACCTCGGAGGTATCTCTTGAAACCCGGGATCCCTTTGATATCATCCTATGTAGCCCCCTAAGGGTTGATGACAAGGTCCCATAGCCATTTCTGAAACTCCTATGAAGGTCTTAGGGTTTAGGGTTTAGGGTTGGCATAGAAGACACGCCCTGGCATGATCAGTTTAGGAAGTTGCATGCCCGAGGCGATGAGAAAAGTCCGATGAGTCTGGTGTTGCATACGTTGTCCGGTTCCGCGGTTGCAAATAATCAATCCAGCATCCCAAACCTAGACAACTCGACTTCAACACAAGCGGTAAGCTTTCTGAACTTGCGGCGGCTGAAACCATAAACCCCTAGACCATGCACTGTTGGAGTAGCTGCTTCCCTGCATCGCCCTGCACTTAATTTGGCCTGGGTTGTTGGAAGTCGCCTTCAACCCTAAACCTTATGCCTCATGCACCCTAACATCAAGGTCTTAGTAAATTGAACAGCGCTTTGAGGTAGAGTATCGTCTAAGTATATACGCACCGTAAGGGCATAGTGTACCAAGTACACCAATATAGAGGGCCTGAATAATTACGAATACTCTGTTGGGGGCTCCTAATTATAACTTTAGTATAACTTACCCCAAGACCTTGTTCATAATTAGTATCAAAGCCCCTACACTAAAGTCTTCAGACCCCCAAGTTCGCATGAAGATACTTACGAACCCCCAAACGGCAGATCGGTTTCGGTGAGAACAACTGCGCAGGCACCAAGGCTTGAGATCAAGTGTCCAAGCTTTAGGATTTGCATGTTTAGTTTGGGTTTAGGGTTTATTTAAGGTGTAATTTAAGGGTAACCCTAAATCCTAAGCCTAAACCCTAAACCCCAAACCCTGAACCCAAAGACAGCCAAACCTGAAGTTGTAAAACCCAAGGTGTTGAAACCCTAAACCACTCGTGAACGCCGCTAGTCCCAAGAGCCATCCTTGTGCCAAGGCGCCGTATCCCACGGTCGTCAACGTGGTCAGAGTAAAGTAAAGTGACCACGTATACCTGAGTGTTGGTGTGATGGAGACTTTGGCGCACAGGGGTCTGCCGGACAGCTAGAGTGCCTGAATTTACATAAATCGCCGACGAAACCCAAACTAGAAACCGTACTTGATACCCATTTAGCCTTTGCTTCATGGTTTTCGGCCTGTCATATTGCCTTACACCCGAACAGCATTGGAAACCGTTCTCCCAGTGGCCAAGGCCAGCAACCAAATGCTATGTACCGCCCAGCACCTGCTTACCCTTGTCTGGATCACCTACACCCTGAAACTGATATTAGGGTTTAGGGTTTAGGGTTTAGGGGTTTAGGGGTTTAGGGTTTAGGGTTTAGGGTTTAGGATATCCTGCAAAATCAACCTGAAAGCCGGTATGCACCCTGCATGCCTCTAAAGTCACGATCTCTAAACCCCGAACTCTTGAGCCCTAAACCGTAAACTTCAGAACTCCTAAACCCTAAACCCGACACCTCTAACCCCTCAACCATGAAGCCCTAAATAAAGGACCAAACCCTCAGTCCCACACAAACAATTCGGGTTTTGGACTGGGGCTTAGGCGATCCAAAGAGTTCTTAATGCTTTTTCGTGATCGCTTCTGTTCTCCCATGTGAATGACCACTGGAAACCTGCATCATACGTGGGAGGGGGGGGGGGGGGGGG